GCCTGTGAGCTTTGAGAAAAACCCCCGTAGGCTTTTCCAAGGTGTGTCTGGCCCGCTCACACTGCGCCGCGCTAGACCTGGCAGGTGATCCCCGCGTCCCCAGCCAAGCATCCCGCGCCTCGACCGCTGCCTGTCATCGCCGCGCCGCTTCCCGAGACACAAAAGCTCCGGCACAAAGCTTAAACAGGACCCAAATTCCCAGGCGGTCCAAGCCCAAACCCCTTAACACTCACCACTCGCCTCCAGAACCCAAATGACAGCTGAAAAGCAAAAATAAATTAAAAAAAAAAATCCCAGCCTACAATAGCTTCGGATGCCAAGGCGCTGTAGGCTGGGGGCTCCCGAGGAGCCAAGCCTCTCAACGCGAGCGTTATTCATGAGCCCGGCCAAGGCAACGGCAGCGGCGTGCCGGGGCGACGCCAGGACCTTCCCCCGTCAAGCCGGGCTCGGGGTGGACGTGCCGGAGTCGATGCTCTGCCTCTCCTTTGCGGCAGCTCCGTGAGCGTAGCCCATAGTGGCGCTTGCACAGAAAAAAGAGGGAAAAAAGAGAAGGGGAAAAAAAAAAAAAAAAAGGAAAAAACCCAAACAAAACCACAATAAATGCTAATATGGGTGAGAACCCAGCTCCGCAGCCCTGGCCAGTGGAAATATGTTTCAAGTGAAACCCTAGACATACCCGCCTTTTCTTCACAGCTACTGGGAGAGGAAACACCCCGAGGTGTAGCTATTATTTACGGGAACTTTCCATTCCAAATTGATCCGCGCTTTACTCGCAGCCTCGTTTATAGCTGCAATGAAAAAAAGAGAAGAAGAAGGAAAAGGAAAAGCAAAAAAGGACAAATAGAAAGGGCTTTGTTGCACTGACAAGGGACATCTATGGAAAAGGGGCTTTCAAGGGGTGCAGCCCCTTTGCAAAGTGGTTTTGGGGCTGGTGCTGATGGGGCGATGCTGTGAGGCTGTGGCTGGATCAGGGGCTGCCGTTTGAGGTGATGCTGGACCAAGCCAGTGCCCAGGGGGGCACAGCAGCATCTCAAAGAGGGCTGCGAGGCCCAGGTAGCTCGGCGAGTCGATGGTGTTAGATGTACCCAACACCTGAGGGCCAGACGGGTGTTAGTTTTATAGGGGCGTTATTTTTATACAGGCCACCTACCAAGCGCAGGATCCAGCATGCTGCAAGTGTTGGGGCTGCATCTTGCTTATACGCAGGTTTTGCAGCAATTTAATGAATTTAAGTGGGAAAGCTGGACCCTGGCATGGCAGCGGGTGATGTGGGGTGCGTCAGCCTCTCCCAAAGGCCCTTCAAGAGCCAAGAGTGGCCGCAGATGCCGGTCCTGGGTGCCAGGCAGGGGAGCCGAGCACCTGAGGGCTCCCACTGTTCCAGGGGGATGCTGAAAAACAGAGCTAAAAGCAATAGTGTGGGGCAGTCAGAGCAGAAATGTTCGAGTTCTGTTTTGCAAATGAAAACTGAAAGAGAGAATAAAAAAATGACTGGAGCTTGGATGACTTTTTTTTGAGTATTTGGATATTAAATTGTGTGGAGTTTGGGCTAAAAAAAAATCTAGGAAAAATGAAGAATATTTCCTTTGAGAACAGAGCTAACAAAAGTCTCAGCAAAAAATCTTATTATATTCTCTTTCCAGACAAAACTTGAAACCCCAGCCTCTGTTTTAATGACTGCATTGTGTCCAAACTGCCTGTCTTTCTTCGTAAATAAACTTTTAACTTGCAAAAAGTTTCTAGGCTACGCAGGACGTAGGGGAAGGCGCCTGCCTTGCTGCCACGGGGTCTCGCCTTGCCCACACCGTCCCTTTCCCTCGTCAAGCACTTAACGAACCTTGCACAAATCAGCATCACTA